CGAGAAACATAGTTCTCAGTTTCAGAGGCATTGTCGGGCCTTCTGAGTCTGACGCAGCTCATCGGCGGAAAGTTCGTCCGACTCCCAATGGGCGGCTATTTACTCTGTAGGGAAACATCGGACGGACATATGTGTGTACTAAGAAGCTTCTGCAAAACCTGGGCTGTGGTAAAAGGAATATGAAGTTCAAAGTTGGACTCATAGCAGGCTGAAGGTTGGAAAAGCGATATTACGCAAAACTTTTTCTTTTAACCCGCGCCGTGCTGGTGGCCTGAACTTTCCGCCGAGTGCTGGGGGGGGGGGGCGTTTTCACGCCCCCCCCCGTCTAACTCGGCTCCTGGGCCACGTAGCGACACGCGGTAAGCGGCAATCGAAAGAGCGTCAAAAATAAGGACGAAAACACTTCAGTCATTTTTTGGGTCAGGTCAAAGGTCAGGTCACCAGAGGTCACCAAAGGTAAAATGTTGACTATTTCAACATTTTGGAAACTGCCAACGGCTATCTCGGGAACCGATAGAGCTACAGCGCCGCGGAAAAGCGCATTCGATAGCCCTTTTACAGACCTTTCTGAGTAATGTCCTCAGATTTGACCTCAGGTCAACGGTTTAGCCTCCAGAGGGCAAAAACTCCAAAAATAGCCGTTTTTACGAAAAACGTTTTTTCGTCAATAACTTTTGACTCATAAGCGCCATGACATTACTTTTGCCAGCATCGTGTTTCTCTCGTCGATACGCGTCGAATGAACTATTCGTTGACCTTGAAAGGTCATTTTGAAAATTTGACCTCAGGTCAAGGTCATGACCTGACCGAAAAGGGTCATGTTGCATATCAGTCGATCCGTATCGTCGAGCTGAACACATCTGACGTGTTTTCACCGCTCTAGCACGTCTCTATCAAAAGTTATAGCCAAAAAACTGCTGGCGACCGTTCATGACCTGAGATGACCTCAGGGGCACACAGAGGGGTCACAGGTGCATTTTTCCTATTCAGTGTGTCATGTTTACCTATGAACCGATGTTTGAGAGCGTTTTGAACGATATTCGTCCAAAAGAGGCGCATTTCAATTTTCTCCCATTGACTTATAATGGAGAGGTCGCAAAATTGACCTGACCTTAGGTCACAGATATCAAAAATCCGAGATATACATTTTATACATACTGTTACTCATATCAATCGCTGAAAGTTTCAAAGTGATTGTTCAGTCGGTGTAGCTATAGCGAGCCTTTGAACTTTTTCTGAGGTAAGGTCACTTGACGTGACCTGGTGACCTGACCTTGAACGGCCTAGGTCTGAAATTTTCACAACATGTGCGGAAATGATGTAGGAACACGTGTACCAAAAACGGCGGCGCTGCGCGCCGCCGTTTTTGAGATATTTGCGAAAAACCTGAGGGGGGGGGGCGTAAAAACGCCCCCCCCCAGCACGGCGCGGGTTAAGAGACGGAAGCCTGCAGGATTTTTCACTGTATTTCTTCCTATGCAGTTTCTGCAATATGCATATGTCTGTGTCGTCTCTCTCTCTCTCTCTCTCTCTCTCTCTCTCTCTCTCTCTCTCTCTCTCTCTCTCTCTCTCTCTCTCTCTCTCTCTCTCTCTCTCTCTCTCTCTTTCTCTCTCTCTCTCTCTCTCTCTCTCTCTCTCTCTCTCTCTCTCTCTCTCTCTCTCTCTCTCTCTCTCTCTCTCTCTCTCTCTCTCTCTCTCTCTCTCTCTCGTGTGCTGCTTACTGCTTAGTGTGGGAGACTGACGTTTTCGTTACGTTTTGTCATATGAATTCATGCCAGGTATCTGACTCCGAGTTCGACTCTGACTCTGATTCCGATCGCGTTCCTGACTGAGATTCCGATTTCTACTTCGTTCCGACTTCCGAGTCTTTGATCAATTTTAATAGGACAGCCACCAAGATAAGATTACGAAAAAATAATTGTCACTTCTAGTTTTTGTAAAAAAAAAAAAAAAAAATAAGGCCCATCGTACTGAATTTAGTGCTTTTGACCTTTAACCTATCCTTTGAGGAAGTTATGAACTTTATCAAATACAATAAAGGTCTCACTTTAACACAGGGGTCGGCAAATGGTGGGGCATGCCCCCTCCGGGGGTAATGGAGCCCTTTCGGTGGGGGTAATGAGGGATTCTGAGAAAGCCTATCTTTTTAGAGTTTGTAGCTCCAGTGATGGAGCCATCGTGACTGTTGCATCCCAGGGTTCAAAGATTAGCCCAGGCCAAAGGCACAGCACACTATTGATTAGATACCAATTTTCACGTACCTGCTCGCCTCACCATCTCACCCCTCCGTACAGTCGTTCAAAAGCAGCTGCAATTTTTAACCGCCGCCCGTCTGTTGGCGTTTCCACAGCCGCTAACGTAATGGGGAGTCGATCGGACCCCCGCGGCCCCTCGGACTCTGAGAGGGAGCTGTGCATGAAAAACGAGCGTATTACCCGTGACTATAGGAAGCCGCTGCTGCCCATTTTTAAGGTCTTTGGTCATTTCGTCTCATTCAGGAGGTCAAAGACAAGTGTCGAGAAAATCGGGACCCGCCATAACTTCTTGAAGTGAGATTTTATGGCTCAAGATGATGTCCAGAAAAAGCTCATAAGCCAATGATCATTATGGGTCCAGAGGCCAATTTAAACCAGAGGCGGATCCAGCTCAGAGTTTTTTTTTTTGGGGGGGGGGGGGGCAAACCATAACAATTTATCGATTCTTTCCATGCATTGTCCATAGGCGTAATGTTAAAATTATGCCGTTTGAGCGGGGGGCGGGCAAATGCCCATTTTGCCCTCCTGGATCCGCCACTGATTTAACCGACAGAAAAAACCGTCTGCCGGAATTTTTCGCGTTAAGACCGCTTCACATACGGAGCGTAAACGGTAAAGCCCTATCCACTTACATGCTCATCGCGCTTACATTTATCAGGGTATGTGAAGCGGTTTTTAGGCAAAAACTCCGGCAGGCGGTTATTTTTCTGTTGGTAAAACTGGTTTTCCCAGGCAGGTAAGGGAAAAAATGATTGGCTCGAGGGTACAATTTGGTCGTGATCCAAACGGCTTTTACGTGCGAGCTTTTAATGAAAAACCACCCGGCGCCACTATAGGTATGTGCGAGGGTTAAATGGGATATATTAAATGCTTTGTGGAGGAAGTGTCATGTTTGAAATTTGATGGATTGGAAATGCAGAAATACCCAAAGAATTCCAGAAAGGTATGGAATTTCAGTAAACTTGGTTGTGTCAGAAATGGGGTCTGATAGGTGGGGGTAATGGCCCTGCCTGGCGCTTAAAAAGGGGGCACAGCCCCGAATGACCTGCCGACCAATGCTTTAACATATTTATCTCACTGACAGCTCTCGTCTGCCACCCTCGCTTGTGCCAAATGTTCCGGAGCCAGCAGGGGACAACCCCCCCCCCCCCCCCTCCCCCTGCTCGGCGCAATAGGCTGGAGAGCGTTCCGAGGGCTTAACGTTCAGAACCCGCTCCCATGAGTGACAGGATGAACAAGGGTACAGATTTCTAAAGCTGAGTCAGCGTGATGCAACGCTGCGGCGGCGAGCCGTGCGTGATGGCATTGAAATCTTTCACACACAGTATGCGCCTAACGTGGGTAGGTACGACTGGTCTTCAGAGCTCAACATTGATATCAGGAAGCCAACTTGATCTCAAATGACAAATAATGATCTCATTTGCCGCTGCCAGAATTATGTGCGCACTGCGCAGGCCGCAGCTCACTGAATTTGATGGGCGAGCCGGGTTCACGCAGTGCGGCACTGCGCAGTCGTAGATGAGTAATACCGGATCACCAGCCTTCTCATGCTGTTCCCCTTCACTGCATGTCAGCTCGACAGAGTAACTTGACAAATCTATCTGATTGTGGCAGCCTCGTCAGCGACTGGAGAATCCGGGGTCGTGCCGCCGGTCTGGACGATTCCGACTCCGGCTGATCTGGGATGTCACCGACCGAAGGGGGAGGGGAGGGGTGCCGAGGGCAGCCGGCCCCTCGACTCCGAGATGCGATTAGGGTTGAAGGACGAACGATCAGAGACACTGCGAGCGCCACTTTTATGCCACCCAAGCGGCAGTTTTCGTGACACAGGCGTAAGTTTTGAGTGGCTACTGACTATGACATCAGTCTTGAACGCCAGTTTCCGTGACATAGGCCTACAGTGATCGCTACATTGATGTTCGAAGGACGAGTCTGTCCGCTATGCGTATCGCTAGATAAATAAACGATCGTCGCTGACAACGGACAACGCTCAGTTTATCGGAGTGACAGGACCTCGAATTACACACTCGCAACACATAGGTGCGATGTTCTCGTCATTTGTAAAATTGTTTGCTGATACTTTATTGGAATATGGCGAATTCAGGCTATTAGTCAAAGTCGTTGAAATAAAGGTTGTGTTTTGTTTGCCTGCTTATCGGTACAAATAGGATGTTTTGAATATTGCTGTGTTGTTTCTAACTTTGTTTAGTGTCATGCCTATTACCTATAGGCTAGGCAAATTTTTAGCCTATATGATTTAGCTTCAGACGACGCTCTGCAAAAGGTGAGATTTTAAAGGCAAATGATATAAGATTCAAACATCAAGTAGCATCGAACAAATATTATTTTAGGAAACTGATGGCAATCTCAACGAAACATGGCGAACAATCCAAGTTTCGTTGGTGCTCTTGGTTCAGCTATTATTTTCCTATTTCATCTGTTATCGTGTTTGCGGCCGAGTTTAACGGTTTTCTCACTGGCGACCCGCGTGTTCATGGCCGGTCTTCTCTGCGCCGTCTCCGTCCCGCCGAGGTCGCCGGGGTCGCACCGACGCGCTGCTGTGTACCGAACGCTTTACTGTCGCCGCCGATTACCCATTCGCTGTTGATTATTTGCCTTTGCAGGACAATGAGGCGCCCTTTGGTGGCCGTATCGGGGATATTGTTAGGCGATGTCGCTCCCGGGGGGACCGCGCCGACCGGTCGCCGGGGGCGCCCCACCACCAGAGGGCGCCCCGCCGCCGCCAGAGGGCGCCCGGCGCCCGGTGGGTGGGTCGGCGCCGCGGCCGGCGGCCGGACGGATTACTGGCAGGGAAGCCGTACGGGCGGCCCGGCGCTGCAGAGCCGTCGTACCTACCTCGCCGCGCTGTCCGCTCCGGTGCCGAGATACAGCGGGTGGAGGATCGGAGAGACCGTCGTTCCGTGCAGCCCTGGCCCCCTCCTGATCGCGCCCTCAGTGGCCGCCCTGGATCTCTCCGGTGGACGTGCCCCATGAGTGAGGAGTCGCAGCGGCACCGTGTGCCCAGAGAAGACAATCACAGGTGACCGCGGTGCCCTCAGCCGAGCAGAGTCCATAGGACAGGAGGGCATCAATCTTCCACAACGGTGACTGCTTCTCACAGCTTCTCACAGACGTCCGGAAAAGACACGAGTGTCAGAAGACCAAGAACCACCGTGTGGTCAGCAGTTCTGCTTCGCCCAGGTGTCTCCCACTGCATGCGATCTTCGCGGTGAGATTAGGAAACACCACTCGGATGTTGGACACAGTTCAGGTGCAGCTGTACTGAGACGCCGCCACGCGTGCCTCCTGGGGCGTCCTGGGACGCTGGGACTCGGGTGAAGCGTGCTCCATGTGACTCTGTGAGACGCCGGGACTCTGACAGATCGTGCGGCTGAGCCAGGAACAGTTCCGGCCGGCAGAGCGACCATGGCGCCGCGCGTGGACTTTGACGACATTCTGGAGATGGTCGGGAACGAGAACTGGTTCCAGCGGCGACTCATCTTCGTGCTGGTGTACCCGGTCTCGTTCCTACTCGCCTGGATGGTGCTCAACATTCTGTTCATGGTGTCGGTGCCCGACCACTGGTGTTACGTGCCGGGCCGCGAGATGTACAATATGACACTGGAGCAGTGGAAAAACCTCACCATACCCAGGTCAGTGCACAGCACGGTCACGGTCAGGTCGTCAGGGCACACCTGTGATCAATGGAAGCCCGCTCGGCACGGGAGAGGGCCGGGCCGAGCTCTGCCCTCTCCAGGATTTTGCGATAACTCCGTAGACGTTACATCTAATACATCAACATGATGCTGTATTTCAAACGAGATGTCAACATGTGTGCTTTTTGTGCTGGATCATTGTAGCACCGATTTCCCAAATTTGTTAACCCTCGCCCGCACATGGGGGGGGGGTGGTTGCCACCCCCCAGGCAGTCTTTCTGCCCTGCACTCAACATTTTTAGCGCTAGAAGGCTGATTTTTCGTATAGCTGCTCCTCTATCCTTTCTTGATGTCCACTGAAAATTTCAAGTTTCTGTGATTTTTGGTTTCGGAGATATGACCTTGTTTTTCAGGTCATGTCATGACCCAAATGACCAATTCTCAACATCTTGCGTTTACCATGGGCCTTGCGAGCTTTTGACACCCTGATTTCGGCCTTTTTTGCCAGTATTACCTCCCACCTATCATGGAACATGTTGTTCGACGATGTACAGGGGTCAAGGTCAGGGTCAAGGTCAACCTAGGTCATCTAAGATAATTGCGTTTTAGGCAAGCTGAATTTACTTTTTTGAACTTTTTTGACTGCATTTTTGGTAAAAGCTTCTCAGAGCATGATTTCATGTAATATGGACCCAAAAACAATCGATGCACACATCAGTATACACACAGACACACACAGACATACAAACACATATAATTGACCTTGACCTAACTTGACCTGAAATGACCTCAGCCGCAAAATTCTGGTCGGGTAGTGTGACAAAGAGGTTCTAGCTGGCCTTGCACCAGAAAACAGCATCGTCATCGGTATTTGATAAGCAGCGCACTTGATATCCAACGGTGACCCAAAACAGCAACATTTTTTAGTTTGACCTGACCTGGAAGGTCAATGACTGACCTGAGAAGGTAAAACTGGGTATCATTGGATTCGTCTCTTCCCAAAGAATCTTTTTGGTCTTTACCGCTAAGCTCTATCTCCAACAGGAACGAAATGACGCGGGGGGGGTGGCAACCACCCCCCCCCCCATGTGCGTTCTAGGATGGGAAAACGGCATGTGCGGGCGAGGGTTAACCCACGCATGGCTGGGGTATTTTCCATAACGCAGGTGACTGAGGGGGCTTTGCAGAGCCCCCTTTTGTACTATCTCCAAAACTAATGAACCGATTTTCAAAATTCAAACGCCGTTTGATAGCCCTGGGAAATTGTGGAGCAAAACATAATTTCGTAGACCTCGAGGTCACTGATGAAGTCACAGGTCAGGTCAAGGCAAAACATATTAACATTTTGGCTTGCTCACAATTTGGGTGCTGGCCGCCGACTAGCATATCAATCAGGCTCATTTTGGGTTTACTCACTCGTGAATATATTCATAAGCCACCCTGAGGGTACCGAGCTTGTAATTCGAATTTTTCAGGTCAAGGCTAGGTCATCCTAGGTCATGGAAAATCTATATCATGCATCGGTCACGTTACACATTTTTATGGTCCATTTCGCCCATAGATTTCGAAATCAGGGTCTTCTGTGTCATCTGAGGCCATTCTTGGCTAAAAATTGCTGAGGTCAAGTTATTTTCAGGTAAAAAAGTCAAATTTTTAAACGTGAATTTTTTTAATGAAAAAGTGACGTTTAGATGCAGTTAGCGCTCAGTAACACGGTGGTGCTATTTGGTTTGGTGTACGATGTCGAAAACGCACTGAAAACTGATTTGAATTATTGAATACGGTAAAATTATTGATCAAAAAGCGTATAGCTTAGCTCTTTTTGTAGATATCGGGCTAGGGCTTCCCAAATTAGATCACCGGTGTGTGTTCCGTCACATATATTCTTTTTTTTCTAGAGGCAAAATTAAAATACAATTTTTGAAATTTCATCTGTATAATTCATTAAATAGTCACAATTATGAATATTCGAGATAGCAGGTCGATAGTACCTAATGTATATTCTGAGTCCTATCATGCAAAGAAACTGGATCTAGCTTAAAAACTGAGCTTTTGAAAAGGATTATTTTGCATTAAAATCGGCCCCACATGATGTCACTCTGACGTCATATCTAGCCGATCTATGAAAGCTACGATTTTTATTCGGAGGCAAGGTGTAAAATTTATGCAGGCCAAGCTACAGAAAGTTTCGTGTCGATACGTCCAGCGCGGCGGCTTAGAAGAAATTGCAGAAAAACAGCCGGGGAGAGGCTCTGTAGAGCCCCGCACAGCCATGCACGGGTGAAAAATCAACTTTCTGAATTAGCTGAAAACTGGCTCGTCCGCCGCATGGGTTGTGAGTCTAAATTGGCCAATTAAACTACAAAAATCATACATACAAAATGTACGTATAAGCTCAGACTTTGAAGGCCAGTTACAAAAAAAAAAGAATAACGCCGATGGATTCATCACCGAAACCCTATCAGGTAGGCACGAATTCTACTCTCTGAACGACTAATTTTGACTTTGAAGTTGCCTTAACCTGACCTCGACCTGAACCTGACATTTTTCTGGCCGATTCAGCGAGCCTCACATGATTGCATTGCATCCCTATGATCAGCTATTTAGTGATTGATCTTTGTTAACTTGAGCGGACCTTAGACTTGATCAATGGTGCCCGAAGTGCGGCGCTGTGTCTTGATGTTCTGGCCGAACCGCAGCAAGCGACCTTCTCCATCTCTCGGAAGCCAACAATGCTGAAACTTGAAACCATAATTCTTAACCTCGACTTGGCATTGACCCTGCTCATGACTTGACTATCGGAAGATGAAAAACGTCTTTTTTTGTGTTTCGATTGTTGGCTTGTGGCCAATATACCTATGCCGAAAAATGCTGCATACTCACCTATCGACCGTTGACAGACAACGCTTTTTGAGCATTGAAGATACGTTGTTTAGAACGTATTTATTATGTCACACATCTGATAACTAAGATAATATTACTTCTTAACCCGATCTGTCATCTTAATGAAGAGCCACTCATATTTGTTTTCTGCTTGGTCATCTTTTGTTACGCTCCGTTCTCCCCCCCCCCCTCCATCGTTCCCTCCCTTGTAAGCTCCTGCTTAGCAGATCAGCCAGGACACAGTCAATTAGTTAGTGTGACGAGCTTACGTTGTCTTGCCGATCAGGCCACTACATATTGTGTAGTACTCCAATCTGACTAGAATCATTGGCCTTTACCTGGGTTGCCTGGGCTACCTAGGAAGCAAAAGGTTGTTTCTAAAGAGATCATAATTGTTTTTCAATATATGACTTGTGCATTTAACCAGTGAGGCGACTTCTCGACAAGCAAAAAGACATGTACATGGTTCCGAGAGATGGATCTATGATCTCGGTGGATCTTGAGAAAATCAGTGCAGATTTGAATCAATGATCTCTTGAATCGATGATCTCATCGGATCACCTGTGCAAATATATCACGGATCAATAATCTCATATATTTTGACGACCATCTAAAGAGCAAGGTTCTATGATCTATAAGGATCCATGCATAATTAATCAGTGAAACCCAGATCCCAGGTGGTTTGATGTATGTAAATTAGTGCCACTCGCTGCATTCTGTGGTTGTGTGATCACACAACAATACCTAAAACGAGACCATTGCGAACTACAGAAGGTGTTCATTGAATGGAATATAATGTTTCTGTCAACGAAAAACGAGCAAAGGTCTATGATCTCATTCGATCGCTCGACACTTATGTTCATGTATATGCTCCCAATTAATCTTTCGACAAATTAAAAAGCTTTGATCTATGATCCCATCGCATCCAATTAAGCAAGATCCATGGGATCAAATCACATATCCATATTCTTAGATCCATGCATATTGTATAGGTCTGCAATTTGATACAAAAACTAAGAGATATAGAGTAAACGCAAGATGGTGACCTTTAGCTCTTAACGATAACTCTGAGAGATTACTTAACCCGCGCACCGACGGGGAAGGGGGGCGGTTAACCGCCCCCATGAAGTTTTTTGCGGATAGTGGAAAACCGCGGCGCTAAAAATTTGGCATGACTTTTTCCTCATCAATTTTACACATGGTGTGCAAGTTTCAACCTCCTACCTCTCAAGGTCAGGTCACCGGGTCACTTCGAATGACCCAGCCTCAAATCACTTTTTTTGCATCTTTGTCACCGTGTCGGAGCTATAGAGTAGATGACGGAGGCCTTTGAAAGTCATAGGATGTTGTGAGGTCATGGATGGCTACAATTTGTTTATCTCGGAATTTTGATATCGATGACCTAAGGTCGTCAGTTTCTTGACCTCCCCATTATAAGTAAAGGGGGGGGGAATCAACGTTTTTCAAAATCAAATGCCAATGCAAAATCAATGCTTTCAAAATCAACGAAATTCCCCCCCCCCCCCTAAAACGCGTTAGAATGGCCCAATATACAATGAATGACATGCATACGAGTATACGATATACGACTCGCCAGTAAAATAAAATCAATGCCTTAAATAAACACCGTCCAATTTGCCCCACCCCACCGGCCAAATGACCCTGCTAGCAGGGCAATTTTGCGGCTTTGTAGACCTTTGTAAAACGTCAAAATTCAGGTATAAGTAGTTGCTCTATCATTTTCAGTTAACCCGCGCCCCACTGGGGGGGGGCTATTTATAGCCCCCCCTCCCGTTTTTCTGCAATAACTTCCAAACCGCTTGACGGATCGACGCCAAACTTTCAGTACCTTCGGCTGCATCAATTTGACACCTTGTGTCAAAATTTGAACTTCGTACCTACCATAGGTCGGCCGGAAATGACGTCAGAGTGACGTCATGTTCGTCCGATTTCGACGCAAAACATTGAACCACGGCAATCGCTCCCAAGAGCTCAGTTTTTAAGCTAGATCCAATTTCTTTGCATGAAAGAACTCAGAATTGACCGTGCTATCAAACTGCTATCTCGGATTTTCAAAATTTTGAAAATTTCGAAAATTTTATATAATAATATTC